GGTCCTGCACTGCTGTGGGGCTCCGACCTCAGCGCCACCCCCTTCTCCTGGAGGCTGCTGCAGGACTCCTACCCTGATCCTGTGCTGCCCCCAGCTGGGCTGCGAACTCTGATGCCCTGCCCAGCTATGTCCTCCTGCCCTTAGGCTCCTGGGCTCTCTGGTCCGGAAGTATCCATGGTCCTGCCAGAACACAGATGTTGCCAGACCAGAGAGTGCAGGATTCTGGAGGTACAACCTGTAGCGTAAATGGTGGACTTCCTTTAACTTGACATTTTTAAATAATGATTTGAGGATTTCAGTCACTCAGCCAAAGATTAGGGGTCTATTACAGGAGAAGGTGGGTGAGGTTCTGTGGGCTGACATGCTGCCCACTGCAGGTTAGATGACCATGAGAGTCTCATCTCAGCCTAAAGTCAATGGGTTTTGCTAACACTAAACATACTGAAGAAGTTTAAGCAAAGTCAACTTCTCCCTCAAAAAGTAGTCTATAGTGTAACGATGAGATTTAAAAAACAAACCAAAACCAAAAACCAGAGCATCTTCTGTCTACAGCTTGGACTACATTTTTTGTAAAAATCACTTCTACGGATTTTTAAAAAAACATATATTCCCTGCTCTCAGAAGATTCCTCCTCCTCCTATTTTTCTTGAGTCTGGCTGCTCTTCCAAATTAACTTTACCCAGTGGCCAGTGTGAACTTCCACTTTTGCTTGGAAAATGTAAATTGGGAATATGAAGTACAAAAAACTGGGTTTCCATCCTGCAAGCTGCCCTATACAATTAAGTCCCTATTCTGTGACAGAGACCCCTTGTAATAGAAAAGGGATCTGGAAGTAGCCTGACAAAATCATCTCCTCCCCTCCTGATCCCCTTCCTCAATCCAGCTTCTTTAACTGCTCATCTCATAATTGCATTGTGCTCTCCTCTCAGCTGCCAGGGAAAAAGTGCTATTTTCCCCTTTGAAGTCTCACTGTTAGCAAAGGAGCTTCAAATGGAAAGCTGTTCTCTTCTGCAGTTTGGGAGAGAAAGATGCACCTAAGATGCTGAAGTAAAGCTGTAGTTAAAAGTTCCTAATGTCATATTTTGTTTAAGATCCCTAGTTAAGGTGGGGGAATTTAGGGGTATGTAAAGGACTTGTGGCTGGAAAGAATTAGATGCCTTAGTAGCCAAGTCCTGCACCACAATGGAGTTAGTGAAAAGGGGAAAATACACAAACATTCTTACTCCCCTTATTTCCTCTTTTAAACATGATTTCAAATAATAAGTAATGGGTATAAAGACTTTTTGCATGTGCATGAGGTCATCCCAGCCATAGGTCAGTATATGGCTATGACATCACCAAAAAGGCACAATGAGACAATCAGCATATAAAGTCCAATTCTACAAATTCTTAAAGCCCCCTGTGATCAGACCAATTGTCTGGACAACAGCATTAGCTGTTAGTTAAACAGATTGCCAGCTAAAACATTAAGGGTGGTCTGACAGGACTCCATTAGAAATTGAGTGGCTTGTGAACTAAGGGCCCTTATCTCTAGTGAAGTGTCTGACTTCAATACCCCAGGATTGGGATATACAGACCTTTCATTGTTGAGGAATCCAAGAATCTCAGTTACAATACCACTTTGCTCATTTTCATATTACATAGATTTGGAACAATTTTATACTTGAGACAGCATCTTATACATGGACGTATTTTATTTTTAAAAGATACTATTTTTAAAATTAGTAAATCTATCATGACAGGAGACCATGTACATAATTCAGAGCTTAGATCCCAACATCTTCTCAGGGTTGGGCAAAATGCAGCCCAGGGGCCAGATCCAGCCTGCCTAACACTTTGATAAGGCTCACAGACTGTATCTGGCCAGTTCCTATTTATATTCTGCTGCCTGTGTGTCATGGCTCCTTCCTCACTCTGGCACGATAAATGCAGAAGTGGGGACCAGCAAAAATACCCCAAAACCTTATCTACCAGGCATGGTATAAAACTTCCCCCCAAATCTTAACCTAGATTTTGGGAATAAAATCTCCGCTGCCACCACCCAAGTACTGATACAAAAATTGGGAAATCTTACTCCTAAAATACAAATCAGGACACAACCATTAACCACTACCAGGTTAAGGAAAAGGAAAGAGAAGAACTTTTATTATCACCACAATATTCCTGTTGCAAGCATAATGGCTAGATGGAAAAGTAACAAAATAATATACTCATGGAGGAGAAATTTACCATGGGCCAGGAACTGTTACAAAGGAAAGCAAAACCCATTTTTAAATGCAGAGACATCAGATTCCATTTCCCAAACCATAAAACAATAAAACCGAATGGATTTCTCTAAACTTTACCCTACTTACAGAAAGTGAAGAATGGTTTCTTGGAGAGAGAGAGAGAGAGACATGTCTGTCTCTCTCAGTAGCTGGAGAAGAACTCCTCAGGACAAAAGAGGGAAAACCCCCAAAATTCCTTTGTCCCAGTTTGAAATTCCTACCTACATTCCTATTGCCTGAATTTACCTGTTAAGTAAGGGGTTAATTTACCTGTTAACCCCTTAGTCCCCAGGCTGCTGGCTAACCCTCATGATTATGACACCTTATCACCTAATTTCCTCAGGCAGCAAGATCCTATTTAAATGGCTCATGACTCCTGCTCATGGAGCTACCTTCGCAGGGGCCGGAGCCACGAGCCTTTTAAATAGCTGCAGCAACCGCTGGTGGCTGCTAGGCAATGCGGTAGCGGCAGGACTGGGAGATGAGAGTCCTTTTCTGTGTTTTTAGTTCAAAACCTCTGACCTAGAGAAATCTGGGGGGAGACTAGTCCCGAACCGTGCACCTTCTGCCCCAGGCCCCCACTCCCTTCTGGGGGGTGGAGCCAGCCTGTGACCACGTTGCAAAATTCATTAAGTGTCCCCCCCCATGAAAATTATTACCCACCCCTGTTCTAAAATGATTTTATTCCCCATTTAGTGTTACAAAGCACCTTAATCTCAATCCACAATCCTAACTCCCTAAAATAAATTAGAAATAGTTAAATTTTGGAACAGCAATTTTATTCTATCAATTTACACAGAATTATGGATTACCATATTTAAATGCTGAATGAAATTAATAAATATTTCAATGAGACAAGAGAATTCAAAACCCACTTCAGGAAAAAGACCAGTTTAGGATTGGTCATTAACCATTTGTAGCAGTCAGGTATCATAAAAGCCCTGAAGAAGATCATATATGATTGTAATCGGAAATGAAAAAAAGAATATGCTGGAAGTGTGGTTTGTAGCTTATATTCTTTTACAGTCTGCTTTCAGAAGGGTGAAAACAGCCAACTGTTTAGAAAGGCAGTAATTTAACAAAGAGGTTTTTGCAGTAAACCTGCAAATATTTTTGTATTTTACAGTCTGCTGGATGACATAAGTGTAGACAAGAAAACATTCATTCTAGACACTCATATCTCCTGCCCATCTCCCAAAAAAATCAAACCAAAGAGGGGGACAGTATATCACAATTTCACCTGTACAAGCATTTGGGTCTCTTATTGTATTGAAATACAGAGAGACAAACAAGAGATTTCATTTTCCAATGTGGCTAAGTGTGCATCGAACCACTAACAACTCATATAAAGACAGTCCTATTCTCTTATTAGTGAGACTCTACAAAAGAAAAGAAATAATAATAAAAAAAGCCGGGCATTTCCTTCACTCTGAACTAACCAGTTCAAAACAAGCAAGGGACCACATGCTGTGAGATCTTAATAATATGTCCTTTTTGGCTCATTGAACTTGAATAGAAAGACATAACATTCAGAAATAAATGTGTATGTGTTATCAAAGGGAGGGTACTTAATGTTTTCTACTCATTTGGGAGTGACTGCACTTTAGCCTTACATTGTGGACAATTTATTAACTGAGTATCTGACTGGGAATGTGGACTCTTACAGTAGTTTGCAATGCTAGTATTAGCAAGACACAAGAAGCTCCCCACTTTCAGTGTCCAAGAGAGAGGAAATTGGTTACTTACAACTTAAATTATTCTCTAGTGCTGTGACCATTAAGCAAAACTGATGCTCTACACAGGGGGTTTAGAATTTTGTGAAGGGGCCATTAAATCCAGAAATGCATGCTGGAAAAGGAATTCCATTTTCAAAAGATCTTTATGGATATTTGAAAATAAAAATCAATGGGAACTGAATAACCAACCTAGAACACATTTGGAAATCCTACCCTCAATAAATAAATACCCATTGTGTGTGGTGGATGGGCAAAGGAGGTAGAAAATTATAAATATTTAGGTGGGTACACAGTTGTATTCTACTTCAAACTTTGCTTCAAAAATACATATTAACCTGTATGAGAATCATACAAGTGCTGACCTGTTGTTCATAGATTAATTTTGACTTTAAGAACCAATTTGCAGCAGGCTTCTGCATCTCAGATGTGCATAGTTGTGTATTAGATACATATATAGAATTCTAGTTCAGTTAATGTCACATATATTTGGTCAACTTCAGCCCCATAGATTAAACATGGATCACTCCATACAAACAGGTCAGTTAAGAAATATGAATTAACCTACCTTAAGTTGTCCTATTTCTTTAAATTTATAAACTTCAAACTCCCAGAGTTCTGTGTTCTTTCCAAGTATTCTTTGACATTTTCTGAGGGCAAAATGACAGCAATTACAAATACATTTAGACAATCATGGAACTGGAAGGGACTTTGAGAGGACCCTGCCCTCGTGGCAGGACCAAGCACCATCTGATAGGTGTTTGTCTAACCCGCTCTTAAAAATCTCCAATGATAGCAATTCCACAATTTTCCTAGGCAACTTATTCCAGTGTTTAAACACCATGACTATTAGGAAGTTTCTCCTAATGTCCAACATAAACTTAGGTAAAATACTTTAAATTTGTTCTCATTGAATTTCATTCTGTTTACCTGATACCATTTCACCAAATCATGTTGAATTTCCATCTTATCTTCCAAAGCACTTGCAACCCCTCCCAGCTTGGTATCATCCACAAACATTATAAGCGTACTCTCTATGCCATTATCTAAATCAGAAGATATGGAAAGGATCCCTGTAGAACCCCACTTGTTACACCATTCCAGCATGACTGTGAACCACTGATAACTACTCTCTGAGAACAGTTATCCAACCAGTTAGGCACCCAACTTATAGTATCCCCTCCTAGGTTGTATTTTCCTGTTTGTTAATGAGAAGGTCATGTGAGACTTTATTAAAAACTTTACTAAAGTCTAGATATACTACATGTACCACTCCCTACCCCCCCAGGCTTATTACAAGATTTTTCTTGACAAATCCATGCTTATTGTTATTTAGCACCTTATTTTTGGTCTAGATGTTTGCAAACTGATTCTTTAATTATTTGCTTCATTATCTTTCCTGGAACAGAAGTTAAGGTGTCTGGTCTGTAATTCCCTTTGCTGTTTTATTTCTCTTTTCATAGATGGGCACTATATTTGCCCCTTTCCAGTCTTCTGAAATATCTCCTGTCTTCTACAACTTTTCAAAGACTGGGACATTAGCTATTGATATCTCCTTAGTCAGCTCCTTGAGTATTTTAAGATGCATTTAATCAGGCCCTGGTGATTTGAAGACATCTAACGTGCCTAAGTAATTTTCAACATGTATGGACCAACAAAAACACTAACATATTGGTTATGTTCCCTCAACATACTCCTCCTTCCCAAACCAGGCACCTTTCATGGCCCTGGGCTCAGGCAGTCCTTATTCAACCATGTCCAAAAATGACACTGCTTTCTTCAAAGCATACCAACACTACTCCTTTGGAATCTAGAAAGGATCATTAGAGTAACTGGTATGATAATCACACCTTTTTTTCCAGCAGCAAAATATGCCATCTCAGCTATAGTTCTACCTGGTGCTGAGCCAGGACCTTAATTCTATTTCCCACATTATTTAAAAAAAATCAAACAAACCCCCCCAAAAAACCTGCAAAGTTATTCTGCTACTGTATTCCATTATTTTAGTGTCATCAGTTTAGGTAACAAATTTGCTGTTTGATGATCTCCCATTAACATGCTATCTTTTGCATCTCTTATACAGGGATAAGTTCCCAATTAGAAAAGATTTTGAGCCACTGCACCTTCCTTTCATTTCAATTTGCTGGTGGTCATCAGTTCTAAAAATCAGAATGATTTAACTGCTTAAATATGGGCTTAAGCACCTCACTTCCAATAGTCAGCTTTGAAATTTTTAGTATAAAGTATAATTATTATTGTGAATACTGAACATTGATAATCAAGTGGATTCAAATGACAGTGTAAATAGACATAATGTGCTCTAAAAGAATTAAATCTCTCTCTTAAAATGTGTAGTATATTTCTAACAACTAAAGTGACTAGAAAGATAAGTCACAATAGCAAGCTTGCAAATGTTTCTGTCTTTACAAATTAAAGGATAAAAGTAAAACAAATCACTGGATTCCTACGAAACAAGGATTGCTTTATCTATTTCATCCATGCATTATACATAATCATATGCACAGCAAAGACATTTCTAAATATATTACCTGGCAGCCAAGTCATACTCTCCTTTCTCCATTAGATGATTTATATAGGCTAAGCCTATGTCCTTTAATAAAGAGAAAAAATGTAAAAAAAGTTAAAAGAAGCTATAAAAGTTCCCACGTCAATTCTTCTTGAAAAGTCAAATGTTTAACAACACTGTTGTAATAAACCTTTCAGGTTGCATTCAGTGGCTTGTTAGGTGGAGATATCCCTGAAAAATAAGCAATGACTGACCTAAGCCCCTGTTCCCACTTAGAAGTGAGCACATGTACATAAATCACAGTGAAATATTCATTTTAAAAATCTCATCTCTTGAACATATGACACTATTAAATAATTTATGATGACTTCACCAATACTGAGAAGAATATACTACTTCCTAAATTGTGAGTGGGGCTCAAAATATGTATCTAGATAGTCAGCATTTGAGACACGAAGATCAAGGTTGAGAATATGTTGACTCTGACATGGGACACTTTTTGCATCAATGACAAGAAGGGTTCAGTGACTGGGGGAAAGAATACCAGCACATCTGCTGAGAACACACTCCAAGAAGTGCTCCATACAGGAGAGGAAATACCGATAATTTAACAAGCTGTTCATTTTATTACACAGAAGTAGGGAACGGAAAATACGCTACAGGCTTTATTCTCTAAAAGGCACTAAATGACACCAGTGCTCTTCAAGGTACTGCACAGCAAAATGCAGAGGTACAAAGGCAGAGATCTGTCTGCATTTACATAATAAATCCTGTCTCAAGATTACCTCATTAATAAGCTGTGATTCAGTTGAGACACTATTTGGTACTTTGGCCATTTAAAAAGTGCCCATTTGTTATCTGAGGTGATCACATCAATGCTCAGAAACAGTATCATCATAGCTTTTCACAGATAAAGTTGATTGCACTACACAAGGCTCACTGAACAACTTATTTCAAGCAATATCACTGAAAGGGGCTGAGGGCCCTATGTAAGGAATTCTACTATAGCCATTGTTTGATTGGGTTGGCAAATAGTATGGGAATTGGATTTTTATGCAGATCAGGTGGCCCTAGCATTCTGTGTAAGTGATGCTCAAAGGTCGTGGCCATTATGACAACAAACAGAATCCTTGGGAGGAGCACACTGTGACATGACCCTGTCACTCTGCTTAAATGTATATGTTGAATATGTTTTGCTACTCATTCCCAGTGGACTTCACCTGCTGTGGGCTGGATCTAAAGCCCAGTGAAGTCAACTAGACTTCTTCCATTGCTTTTAGTGGGATTAAGTTATACCTAACTAGTGAATCATTGTGGCTATATGTACATTAATTGGATTTCATTCTAACCTCATTTTATAAGTAAAATATTAGTAGAGCATTTCTTCTTTTATTTTCTGACCAGGGCCTGCTTTCGGGTTTATTTCTTCTGAAAGGGCCATAGGCAAAGCATGCACAGAACTGAACTCCCTGGGTGTTATATTCTGGTGACGCCATCAACTCATGCTGGGAAAAGTAAAACACCTATTAACCTACTTCTAAAATAAAAATGTGTAAATGTCAGGGTACATTTGCAATTTAACTATGAATTAAAATTTTCAATCGATGCTTTGTGCTTATTCTTTAAATACCACATTCTACTTTTAAAAGAAAAGTCATCAACTTAACATCACGGTCAATTAAAAAACAGGAGTTGAAAGTGGTGCTGGTTTTCTGAGGATTCATAATATTTTTCTATATTACAAAATATCTATGTTCATCTTATTGTTTTGTATAAGACCAAACAAGCAACAGGGAAAATAACCATACACAGGTAAACAATAATTACAATGTAAAAGGCAGGGATTTTTAAAATAGTTTATAGGAATCAGTGCCCATTTCCCACTGATTTTCAACAGGATTTAGGTGTCCTTAGACCCCTTTAATAATTCTAGACAATGTGTTATCTTACACAGAAAGTAAAACTGAAAAAGAAATTAGCTTTTCTCTAATGACTTTCAGGTATTATAATATTAGGTATTACCAAAAATAATAGTAGATAAAAATTACACATGACTTTTTTTTTAAAGTTCATCATTCTTGTAAACTCTGAACATCCATGCCCTGCTTTGGGACTGACATCAGAAAACGGAATGCTAATTGGAAAGTGTGTAATTATTGTCTGAAATAATATGGACAAACAAATATAATAACCAAGATTCCTAGGATGAATGTAAAGCACAATGCAGTGTTCTAAAGAGAAAAAATATATATGTTTATTTTGAAGTTTTTAAAACTTACCAAAATCCTGTGTTTTTTTATGGTCTTCTGACTGATCTCAGCAGCCATCAAAGCCTCCTATGTTCATACGATAGAAAAGTGACATACAAACCAGATATACAAAACTTCTATACAGAAAGCTCTAGAACTGCATAAATCAAATCCTTTTTATTGTGTCTTGTGTTTGAAGCACTGCAATTTTTAATGCCATGGTTGGATGAACAGCTTAGAATTCACACTCAAACAAAAGCAGTCAGCCAAAAAGAAAACTACTTTTGTTTCCATCTGGGTTCACTCCACATTAGTATATTAGGATCAAATTTCAAGACTATGGCACAATATATAATGCAGTACCATTGGTTAATGTTCAGACAAAAATCCTCTGCTAGAAAAAGCTATGTGAAAAATCTGTTTGAGGAAAAAAGATTGGTTTTTTTTTTTTTTTTTTTTTTTGCTATACTCAACAAAATATTGTGTCCAGTTAGAATGATTTTTTTCAATAAATGTAAATAGTAGTTCTTCCTTTATTTCAAGTGTACAAAAACAGATCTGGCTTTTTATAAGCCAAGTGAAAGCTTAATTTAGATTACAACACAAGCCATTCATTGAATATTAGCCTCAGAGGGCTTTCCCTAAGGCCATGTCTACACTATGAGATAAGGTCAAATTTATGAAGATCGATTTTTTGTACCCAATTTTGTGAAGTCCCCACTGTGCACAAAAATTCAATGCAGTTCGAAATAGCACGCCCATATGGTGGCCACCATCGACTTTGAGAGTGATACACTGTGGGTAGCTATCCCACAATTCCTGTGCCCCTTTGCTTTCTGGGTTATGCTCTCAATGCATGCAGGGACCACAATGCATACATGCTGGGTGCATGTCGTCAACGCCCCATAATGCAATAATCTTCCCCCTCCCCTTTGGTTGACAGCAACAGCAAACAGTCTCTTCATACTCTTTTTCCCCTTGTTATCCACGAAGATGCCATAATAACATAAGCATGAATCCCATCATGGATCCCATTGAGCATCAAAGCATTATGGCAATCATATTATCCAGGGTGTGCTTTATGCTGGAGTATATCCAGAGCATATAGAGGGTCCACTGGAACAAGGAAGAATCTTGGAGGGCCATGAACATCCCTCTTTTGCAAAGCACTTGAGTTGATCGACTAGCAAATATCACAAGCATTCGATTCCCTGGACACAGAGAAATGCTAGTTCTGGTGCCTTCAGACAAGCACAGATGGTAACAACGTAGCCTTGTAATTGTGTAAGTAATAAGTCAGTTAGGAATAATGAATGCATGTTATAGCAAAAGGTTTGGATTAAATTTAAACACAAGATGTAGGTCTCAGACAGGCCAGGTAGCTTTGTTAACATAGCTCCAGCTCTGTTTGATGTTTGCATATTCTGATGTTAAAGTGAAGGGATGGAATATTGTAATACATAGTGATGTTAATATAATGTAAGGCCTTGTAATAGAAAGAAGTTTAATGTTAAAGTTACAAAGCCTTTCATTAAAGTGACTAGAAGTACCCTTTTGTTCCACGTTGCAATTGTGTAAATGTATTGCTTGTGTGAATGAGAGAGAGAATGTTTTAGAAGAGATAAGCGTAAAGGCCACTGCATGCTCAAATGGTCAGAGGAGGAGCCAGAGACTCAAAAGCACCAAATAATTCTCAACTAAGTGAAAGCACACTGAAGACACAGACTTCTGGGGCAGATTGGCGAACCCTGAAGTTATCGGGAAGAAGCTTGCCACTAAGCATATGTCATAGGAAGATTGATTGTAATGCTGAAAGACAGATTAAGGCCTGAGAAGGTAAAATGCATAGACTTGCATGGAAGAAAAATCCTATAAAGGATGTGGGGTATTTTGTATGGTTCCTCAGGTTCTCACCCTGCTAAGACTATGAAGCATCCATCCGGGCTGACAAGAACCTGGCTTCTTCCTCACACCCAACCTATCTGGCCAATAGGCTGGGCCAAGCAACAGACTAGCAACTATTCCAGCAGCACGCGCGTGCGTGAGCACATATGCTACTTTATTATATCATCAATAAATGCGGTTTGTTGCCTTATACCCCTGAAAATGATCCCGTGTGCTTCTTTTAAGCATAACAGAAACACATAGTTATGCCCATATGGGGACGATCAGCAGTGGCTGCAAATCTTTCGCATAAGGCTGCTCTCATGGAATTTTGTGAATTGCTTCCCCCCACCTGCCTGAAGTGCAAGAATACCAGAATGAGACCTGCTCTGACAGTGGAGAAGCAAATGGCAATTGTCTTTTGGAAGCCTGCAACACCAAACAGCTACCAGTCAGCTGGTAATCAATTCAGAGTGGGGAATTTTCACAGGTCTTGTCCTGTTCATCAGGAGAGCAGTAGAGTTGAAAGTCCTGGCTAGAGCAGTCACTGCAGGACAACACCCAGAGGCCAAGAACTTCGACTTTCACAGTGATACGTCTGCACTACCGTAAAGTCGATCATACAAGATTGTATTTTAGCATTATTCTTCGTGAAAAGCAGAAGTACTGAAATTGACTTTAATGTCCCCCAAAGTCAATGGAATAGTGGAACATTGTTTACAAATGTTACCTAATGTGGCTAAGTTCGACCTCAACTCCCAGCGTAGACTAGGCCTAAGTCAGACACGGCTATCGTTGAAATGTGCTTGAGCTTTGTGGAACACCTGCATAACTACATTCACAATTTTGAATTTATTTGTTGTGAAAAACAAATCCCCATAGATGTTTATGAGATAATCTGCACTGGGGATATCATAATTTAATTAACCACAGAAATATGTGCTAAATGGGGATGAGACCCTATATTCCTTCCTAGACATCTGTTTTGAATTTGGCTTTAAAACACTTGCATTCAGCTCATAAGTACATTTCAATTAACCTTTGCAATTTTTTTAAAAACAGTCTAAAAAGTCCTCTAATTGATTCACTATTAGAAATCAGAAACCAGAAAATTCGGGGATTCCATTAACATTGCCCCTAGGCTCAACTTAAAGACACACTGCAAATTCTGGAACCAATACTAGGTGCCTAAAAATAAGCATTTAGGCATCTAAATAAATGACAGGATATTTCTAAGAAAATGAGCATCTTAGGCTCCTAGTGTAGTTACTTATCTCTACCAGTATTCAGCAATTTTCAAGTCTGGCACTGCAAATGTTCTATTTTGTCCTAAATTATATAATATTTCGAAAACTGTGCCACGTATGAAATAAACTACATCTTAGCTGGAGCTGTGTGTTGTGTATTTCTTTAATCAGTTTGGATGTCTTTTCTTTAATCAAGTTTGGATGGTCCCAAAACACAGAAAGAATATGTGTCCCAATACATTTATTCAGAGCTAAATAGTGTTAAATGTCACTAAAATTAGTAACAATGCAAACTTGACATGGTCACACTTTTTCTATCTATTACACATTCAGGCTCCAGTCTCGCCAAGATTTACACAATGGGACCACATGTGAATAAAGTTATACGCATGCTCATGTGATGGCAGGATTGGGAACTAAATTTAAAAGAAGGTCTTCCCATTCATCTGATGGCAATGTTTACTAAGGAGAACAAGACTTTCAAACATAAGCAATTAGAGATAGTGTGGTAAAAATTACCTCATATTTCTTCTTTTCCAGAAGCCAGTCAATGTGGTCATCTTGGTCCCGCTCTTTAGCCACAACAATATCTCGTGGACTAATAATGTAAAATAGCGATTCACCCTCGGAATGCTCTGCAAACACAGGAAAATTTATTATTTTTAAATTTTATTTTCCTTAAGTTAAGCCTTGAGCTTTAGATCATCTTTGGGGACAAAAAACAAAAAAGAAGCAAGCAAGACAGAAAGATGCAGAATATGACAACTTTGGCTGCTGTGTGTTTCAACAACATAAAACTGGTATCAATAGCAAAATAGCTTTCAAAACTCACCACAGCTTATTAAAAAATTCTGATTCATCCTCTAGGTGCAAACCGTATGATGAACACGTGGTTATACTTTGAGAGGGCTATTATACTACCTTGCTTGCAATAAATGCATCCTCCCCATCAAGGTCAAGGCTACCAAAACCATAACTTATGGATGCCATATATTCTTGGGGCTTGATAAATCATTACAGCAATGCATTTGCAATTCTGTAACTTAAAGTTACATAAACACAAGGGATTCACCAACAGTATAAACCCTTAGTTTAATTAATCCTGAAGTAACAATTCACACAAAGGTAAGATCTTGTACAGAAGAGGACTGCTCAAAAGAGCATTTCTTTCCCCAAAGCCTGGAAAAAAAAACTCTCTCTCTACATTTTGTAGGTACAGAGATAAAATTTCTCACACAGACAAAGCTATGTATAGTACACAGCATATTCTATGCCATTAAAAATGTATACACAGCAGATGAATTAGAATATTCACAGAACACTGGAGCTTTATAGTAGGGATCAGGTCTATATTTGAGTAAAGGTATAGAGTAGTACCTATTCTCTTGATGGGAATAGAATGGCCTGGAAACTGGCAGCAGATGTACTCAGGAGGGCTGACAGAATTTTGGTATCTTTTTCCGCTTTTTTTTCCCTCCAGAAGAGGCTTTTCTGAAATTTGGCCCATCTACACGGGACCAAATTTCAGAAAAACCTCCTCTTTCAGAACATCCCTTCATCATAAAATGAGGAATACAGGGCTGCCAAAAGTACGTGTCTGCTTTTTCGGAAACTGTTCCGAAATAGCAGACGCATTCCTTGGACATGGCATAGCTTTTCCAGGATAACTCTGGTATCCCAGAAAATCACCACAGCGTAGACATCGCCTTATGCAGGATGAAATCTACCATGATGCCCTTTTCACAAACTGGGAGACCTTCCATCCAACCTATATCTGAAAGAAAGCTTCTAAAAGATCCAGTGCTGTTCAAGTAAAATACTAGAGTCCGTCCGACATCCAAGATATGAAGCATCTTTTTTTTCCCCTTATGCCATCATTCCTAAAAATGAAGAGGGTGGTAAGTGTATGGCACGATTAAAAGTGGAAATCTGAGACTACTTATGAGGGACTTTAAATGAAAAAATAATATACTTTGTCCCTATGAAACACTTCTATGGAGAGTCAGCAACCAGGGCAAGTTACTCTTCCACTCTCTTCACGGAGGTGCTGGTCACCAAGAATGATACCTTAATAGACAGATGAAACAAAGAAAGCGATGGTCATTGACTCACAAGGAGGACCTATCTGCACTGCCAGTACCAAGCGTATGTCCTGGAATGGCAAGCGGTCTGCTATTCAAGGTATACAGACTGATGAAATTCCTTAAGGGCCTAATGGCGACAGGTTGAAAACACATACTCGCCCTCTGTTGGTGAGAGAAATGTGGAGAGAGGAGCCTTAATATAGGGAGATCTACCTATCTCATAAAACTGGAAGGGACCTTGAGAGATCACAGAGTCTCGTCTCCTGCCCAGACCAAGTACCATCCCTGACAGATTTGCCCCAGATCCCTAAATGACCCCATCAAGGATTGAACTCACAACCCTGGGTTTAGCAGGCCAATGCTCAAACCACTGAGCTATCCCTCTTTATACGACCTCACTCAGGGCCCACTAAGTGACTTTGAGGCAGGAGAAACAATAAAAGACTGTGTAATGGAAGATACAGCACAGGGATTTTTTTTTAAAAAAAAGCTGGGGGTGGCATACGGCCCAGCCATAACTGTTCTGTGGGTCTTGGTCTCTGGAACATCTTCCAAAGTCAGATGGGAACTGGGATCCTTCCTGATGGTGGCAATGACTGAAACAGCTTCCTGTCCCAGGAGGGTGGTGCACAGGAGACAACATTGGATTTAAAGGATGATCCGGAATAGTCCCAAGTCTACAAGCATGCTGTGCCACTCTGTCAGAGACCAAATATGTTTGCCAGATAATGCCAGTACTGGGAACATCATATTAAGTATTCAGCTGGGCTGGATCGGACAAGAAAGTTGGATGCACTGCTGACCTGACCATCAATGGTCCTGTGATCTGCTTTCCCCACCTTGAAGTAGCACAGGAAAACATCTGAGTCTGCACCAGTAGATCTGCTCCCCCGTGCAACCTTGCAGCAAGAGGTAGAACAAGTCTCTTGCTGCTGTGTAAGCCTTAGATGCGGTTGGCACCAAGAGAGCTCTTTAGCCTGGCAGTTGCTGCACTCAGAGAATGTACACCACAGTAGGAGTCAGCCTTGACATCTCCAAAACTGGAGCTGGAGTCAAAGAGCCTCCCAGGGATGCAACAGAGGCACATAGAAAGGAGCGGTGTCTCCCCTCTACCCATGGCACTGGGAAATCTTGAATTCTTGTCAGGTGCAGATTTGTCTGTATCACAGAGGTATGTTGCTCACTGGATCTCCTGGACATTTCCTCGGCACTGGTGCCTTCCTTCTGACTACCTTCTTTGGAGAAAAGACAGCACTATTTGGAAGGAGCAGTTCTGAGAATTATTTGACATCCATTCTGACTGGAAAGGCTCCAAAGGTGGTTGCAAGGCAGCCTCCATAGGAACATAGCACCAGGGACAAAGAAGATAGTTGTCCCGAGGCCTGGTGATTCAAAAAGCCCTTGACTCCCAGCCACTGGTGCTGCCATAGTTGCAGCTGCAGCCTGGAGTCCTGGCCCCTTTAAATCGCTGTACACTCTATGTGGGTCTAAAGGCTGGGAGGAGGCCGAGCACTCCTGGTGGTACACAAGGCTGTCAGCTCCCTTGTTCCCACAGATTTCATGCAACCAGCAAAAGGGCTTAAAATCCAGGGGCTAAGGCATGCTGGAAACCTAGTGTTGGCACGTGACTACTAAGAAGTACTTGACACCATAAAACCCAAGAAAAAGAAAGAAAATGGTCAAACTAAACTAGAAGAACAAATACCACTAAACAAAAGACACTAATGATACAGAAAACCAATGTTAGTGGGAAAAACTTCAATAAACAAGTCCATGTGCTCAAACTACCCAGTCACTGAAGGAAGTGAGCAACCAGTTGCACCAGTATGGTAAAGGCAAATTCACAGCACTGATGGGCCTAATAAAGGAAAAATATCTTCTCTGGCTCTGGTGCACTAGGCCACCTGGTTCCACCTGTGAAGTGGAACATATATGGGCAATCACTCAAAGAAGAACCTACATTAAATCCTAAACTTACTATTATCTACTGAAGAAATGTAAATAGCTCAAAATTAAATAAAAAATATTGGCTGTGAATCAACTAATTATCGAATCTAACCACTTGAATAAACTGAAATAAGAGAAAACGTTGTCTGTGCACTTGTTAAAGGGCTGCTGTTGTCAAAAGTCAGTATAGTACTTCAACAAACTCTGCTTCCAGGTGCTTAGCTGGTGATTTCTACCAGTTCAGCAGTGTGAACTTGGTGGCAACCGTGTGCTAAGGAACCAACTGGGAACTGAAAAAGCAGGAAAGCTTATTTTCCCTCTTCCAATCTCTAAGAAAAAAAATAGGTGCAAGAGGGTGAGTTCTGCCAGTTCTAAAATCCAGAAGAATATGGTGACAGTGAATACAGTCGTGACAACGAATACTTCCTTTGTTAAAGTAAATCAGTTAGCTTTAAATGCAAATCATATTTGATACACTTGATAAGTGTATTTGTTTTTTGGATGTATCCAGCTCTTTTAAAGGCAATTTTATTTAATAAAAAATTAAAATGCCATTTTAGTGTATTTTAATTGAATTTGAGTTTCCAGTCACGCAAAGCTTGACATATCATTCACCGTTTTCTAAAATAAAAAAAAATTATAAATGAGAATAAAGGTAAATTAAGCTATATCAATCTGCATACATATAGTGTATCCTCCTGGTTAGTAAGAAGAAACACCAAATTTAAGGTAAAGACTGTATTTAGTTGCAAATAAACACATTTTAATAGTTACCAACTTATTTTCCTTAAAGAAAGGTTGATTCATATAACTCAAAAGGACCTACACAAAACAAAATTAAGATTTAATTAAATAAATTATTTAAATCAAGC